CCCCCCCCCCCCCCCCCCGCGCACACTCGCACAAGAAAACGAGTAAAATGTCATCTGTCCGTGAGATGAGCGAGATGTCGGTGGCAATTTTAGTGGGCGCTGTGGCAATCCTTCTGGGCGTGGCTCTATATATCATTGTTAAACGTCGGCGGCGTCTCAGCAGGTAAGTCCTCCAAAGGGCAAATACTTTTGTGTTACTTCCTAAAGTCTGCGCCACAGTGCTCTGGTGCCCTATGCTAGACGCTCGCTGGTCCGTGTGCCCAATGAAACGGAGGACCAAAAGGAGTTGCGGGAGTATCTGCGGGAGCGGTCACGCTTCATCCATCATCCGCCGGTGGATCTGGGCAACCATACGATGCCGCGGGAGTTTCAGGTCCAAATGAAGATCATCGTCCGTATGCAAGCAATGTATCGTGATGGGTTGCTCTTCCCTCATCGACTGCCACCACTCCAACGCTGGGCGCGTTGCTAAGCGGTAAGTCAGTAATCCGTTTGGCATTTGGCATGTGGCATGCTCCGCATAAAATTCATAGTACGTATGATTACATGGCTATTTTGTGGCAACTAATATCCATTTAATTGCCACCAAAATGGGGTTCTTGCATGACAAAACAACATTAAGTGCGTGCCCCACAATCCCTGCCCACCCAATCAACAATCGTCCATCGTTCCCTCATGAAGGGATAGGGAGTGAAAGTAAGAGAGAGGATTGTTTGTCACACAAAATTAGCGTCCAAGTGGCCTGAATCGAGGAGTAGGAAGAGTAGGGGGAAGAGATCCTGTGAGTGCCTCCTGGGAGCATCATTTATCAATGTATCAATTGTGCGGCAGCAAATCGCCATCCCGACAGTTTGACAACACAAAGAACAAAGCCATCAGAAAGGCACTCTGCCAGTGGCATGTGGCATACGGCAGGGGGCATAGCTCTAGGATGTGGCATACAGATATCTCTCCCTCTCCCTCTCCCCCTCTCTCTCTCTCTCTCTCGGTCTCTTTCTGTGTGTACCACTCAATGGTGCAGAAACAGGCAAACACGACGAGGGTTGACACCGGAGACGGGCAGACAGCTTCCATGTTGATATCACATTTTACACAGATTTTCCGCCAGCAGAGATTTTCCAGCAGCAGCAGCAGCAGCAGCAGCGAGGGGATGTGCAAATGTGCGCGAGGGGGTTGTGATAATTAGGGGTATGCTATGCCGCCCCCACTCAAGGGCAGAGTGATGATTGTTGCAACAACAAGGGGAAAGTTGAGATTGGAAATTCCAGCTAGAAAACGTTTCGGCTGCAAATAATTATATCTCATAAATTATATCAAATTTAAGTAGTCAAAACACGGGTAATCCATCTATTAAATGTAATGGAATGAGGAGAAAAATAGTAGATTTGGTCTCGATTAGAGGCATTAAATGGGAATGATAGATTTTCCTTAATTGTTTCCCCTGTTCACTGTCACTTAATTTCTTTCCTCTTGCATCTCCCTCTCAATCCGTTTCTACTCCCCCTTCCATCCTAGTACAATTAATTTGCTGAGGATTTGTCGCTGCTGCTGCTGCTGCTGCCGCTGCTAGACCATTTAATGTAACTGCAGACATGCAGGGGTCTGGTTCTCCCCTTTCAAAGTCAAATGATCTTCCCCCCTCCCCACACTATCTGAACATTCATTCATTTATTTGACATTTCAATGACATTATATCACACTTGACTGTTACTGTTTTTGCTCGACTTCTACACACACTTAATGGCTATGGCGGCTATGGCTATGGCAACGGTACTTGAATAATTGATATTTTTTGTTGACTCTTTTACTCTTGCGCACTCTTTACTCTGGGCTGTCGTTGTTAGTGTTGCTGCTGTTTTAGTTTTTGCAGTTCGTTGTTTGGGTTTTTTGTTATTGTTGGCTGCTCTGCATACCCCACCACACACACATACATGTACACTCCACAGCGAACACACACACACACACATCGCACTAGAGATAAGAGGCATCGAAGTGGAGACTAAAGAGCATCTGGGGGAGGGGAGGCTGTTCAATCCACTATTCTCTTTCCTCTTTCCTACACATTTCAATGCAGTTCGTGGGGCTGCACTTCGGAGCTCGCTCCGGTTCGCGTTCGGGTTACATTTTTGGGTTTCGTTTCGATTGCGATTTGCATGGCGTCGTCTCTCGCGCGACACGCGTTTTCAGAGTTTATTAAATACCTCTCTCTCTCTCTCTCTCTCTCTCTCTCACACATTCGCATGCGCGACGCCGCGCTATGGTTGCCCTTGGCTCATTGACTGACTGAACCAATGGTGGGGGCGGGGGCAGGGGGAATAAATGGATGGAATGAGGTAATGACTGCAGGCGGACTGAAGGCAGGCGCGTGTTAATGTTTGGTCATCAATTCGGCTTCGATTATTCGGGGGGCGTTGGGTGGCTGGCTGACTAGCTGGCCGACAGGGGGCTACCTTTGAGTCAATATTTACTTAAAATACAAATAACGAGTACCCGAGAGTAAAGTACTCGTACGCGTACGAGTGCCACACACCGAAGGTCGCCCTGAAGGCCTCAAACGCTGCATGAATTTTGAGATTGAACAGCAATCGAGTCAGTCGATTGAGGTGCGATTCTTCTACAGACAAGCAAAGGGAGTGGGAGGAGGGCACTCCGCAAGGTGTTCTCTTTAGTATTGCTTAAACAAAATTAATTGAAATGTACACCAATAATAAACAAATTGAAATTTGTCTTCAAAGTATTTCAAGCATCAAATTTAAGATGGGAATATGCAAAAAAATTATCCCTTATCCCTCAATTGTACACATACTCCTGTTCTACACTTCCTAGTTAGACATGTTCGAGAACAACACTCATCGATACGAGACACACAGAAAATCTCATAAAAAAGAAATATACAAAAATCTCATAAAATGCCTTTTGACACTTTCAGACACCAAAATCCGACTGTTGACTGTCTCCCTCCCCCGCCTTATCTCTCTCTGACTGCCTTTCGCACTTATTCCTCTAGTTCTCTTTGCTTTGCTTTCGGCTCTGCCATCCGTTCCGTGGCTGTGGAGGTCCCTCTGGTGCCTAGTGCCTGGTTTGACGTTCGGCTGCTGCTGAAATGTCAGCAAAATTTTAACTGGCAATTCGCAACAGAGCGCGAACTTGTCTCTGCCCCACCCGGTTGCTCCACCCACCTAGTTGCACACCCACTTCCCCTCTTTCCGTCATAGTCTGCCTTTCCCTTTCTCCATCGAATATCACTACGCACGCGTTTCCGAATGGGAATCCCCCATAATCCTCACCGCCGCCTGTCTGCCACACACACACATCTCTCTCTCTCTCTCTCTCTCTGTGTCGAGTCCCGTGTCTCTCACTGTTGTTATTGTTGTTCTCATGTTGCATGCTACGTGGCACAATATGTTGCCTACCTATCGCTTGTACGCCGCTCTCTGCCCCATCTCTCTGCCCCCGTCAGACGACCGGCTAGGCGCCTCTTCTGGGCCACCACTTGAGTTTTTGGCTTTGCTTTTGTTTCACTCTCCCTCTCCCTCCCAGTCCCCTTCTCTGACTGCGTGGCAAGTGTGGCAGGCATTTACGGGAATGGTGTCAAAATAATTTGGGTTGTCATTTGTTTCTCCTGCCACATCACCTCCCCCCCATAACGCCCTTCTGCCGTTTTTACCAGAATGTAAAAGTGTTTTTTGTGCTGTTTTTTGTTTTCTTTTGGTCAGCGAAAAGGCAGAGGACGTGTGAACTAGGAGGGGTGGTGCTCTAGTGTTAGGAGTGGGGGCACTGCGGCCTTTAATATTTCCTTTCTGAATTACCAATTTGGAAAAATTCGAATAAAGAATCGAAGGAAAAGTTGAGTAGGGTGAAGGAGAATGAGTGGCGGAGGGGCAGGGAAGTGGCCAGAGAGTCATGCTTTTCCCAGTCCTTGTACCTTGTGATGTATATTTTTTGTTTTTCAATTTAAATGAAGGTTCTACTCTTTTTTATATTTTTTGTTTTCCTTTTTTCAACATTCAGGGGACTGTCAGTGATTTTTGCGGCTATCTTTGTTCTTTTGTTTGTTGTAGTTTTCCTCTGTGATTTTTTGCATGCTCATAAATCATTTTTTAGATGAAAACAATCCTCTGATTGATGTTCCATCGAATGAATCGCTTAAATGTCACTTTGGAGAAACGAGATAAAAAAACGAAACGAGCCAGCCAAGAGGCAATCATCTCAAAGACCCAAGGAATCTCCCTCTGCCCCAAGTCGGTTTCCCCCTCCCTGACTCTCCTTGGACGCATCGCCCAAAACATCATCATCATCATCATGCTCATCGTTTTCCCTTTGTTTGTTTGCTAATAGCTTGTTAGCCATTTCAAAAACAATTTTCTTACTTACAAATTCCAACAGCAACAACAGGGAACAGGACGCAGGACACAGGGAACACAGAGGGAACAACAACACAGGCATTAGACGACAGCAACATGTGTAGACCATAACTTTCACTCCTACAACCTCCATCCCCCTTCCTTTCTCTCTCTCTCTCTCTCTCTCTCTCTCGCTCTTTGCTCTGTCATAATTCAAAGAACAAAGAGCAGAGTGAAAAAAATAAGAGCTTTGCCGTGACAATAGGGATACCCTTTAGGGAGTGATGAAAACTTCTTCCTTATTCGGGTAGTATTTATTATGAATGAAAAGAAGAGTAAAAGAAAAGAGAGAAAATCCACTGGGAACTTGTTTTATTTTTCGTCAAGTCTGCGACCAACGGATATTTCGTTTGGAATCTGCCCTGGAAATGTACTTGTAGGATACTTTATTGGGTACATTTTTGGGCATGACGCTCCGTTTTCTATTATTTTGTTCAAGTGCCATATGGACCACAGATCGAAAACAAATCGTTGCTAAGGCATAAATTTGCAAAAATCCCATCATGCCCTTCTTCCCACGCACACACTCTGCCACAGAGAGGAACAATTGTTCGCCCAGTAAGAGAAAATTGTGGGAAATCAGCAAAGGAATGGGACTGGAAGCTGCTAAAGGAGCTGTAGAAGCAGGAGGCACAGGCTGGAGGATGCAAGAGGTGTGTTAAAACCTGGCAAAGACTGAGGCAGGTTACAGGATGGAGTTTTTTTGTTTTTTTGGGAGCACACGCACACACACGCAAGTGGCGGCACATATTGACAGGTCGTGCCATAAATTTTCAGGTAACAAGCAACGCCCAACCCCAACCGCTCCACAAAACCCTCAAAAACTTGTGCCCCAACGACAGAAAGAAAAAAGTTGCAAGAGGGAAAATATCATTCATACGACAGGTGGCAGTGGCACATCCAGAAAGGAAGTGGCCAGGAAGGCATGCTACCGACAGAAGGTTTTTAGAAAATGAATAGGAGATTAGAAGGAACGAAAATGGAAAAGTGATTAGATTCGAATAAGATATCACCAACAGAAGACGAAGAAGATACAAAAGGACTATGGAACTATGGAAATATCATATAATTATTACTGATAAGTAATAAAAATGATCAGCAGATCTAATAATGATCAATAAAGTATGAGTATTTTCATATTAATATTTCCTTCTGCTAATTCTTGCCTCATGTTGGATCAGTTGATCTGTAAGCTTTTTAGATCTCATTTAGATCTACCCCATTGCCTGCCCCTCGGCGTGTAAATTATATCAAATTATACCATTGCTGTCCACAGTTTGTTGCATGGCCCCACAGCTTGTTGTTGCCTAATGTATCATGAGACAAAAGAAGGGGGAAACCCCTCTGACTGGTTCCTCCCTCCACCATGCCCCGTTCTAGGAGGGCGGGTTCATTCTATGCTCTGTTTCTGTTTCTGTTCCTGTTCCTGTTGTTGTTTTTCGACTGGAAAAGCCAGGCTGTTACGCATTATCCTCGTCAGTCCTTCATGTTGTATGTTTTTTTTTTCTCCTCCCGCCCCCCTCCCTTACTCGTCCACAAACTTTTGTCACAAGTTTTTGTCGCTTTGTGTTGCCTTTTGTTTTCGCTTTCAACCCTTTTATTGTTGAGAGCGTTGGGGGTGGAGGCATGTGTTAATGGGAAATTAAAATTCACTTAACAAAAATCCAGCACTTGCAGCATTCCACCACCGCCACCACTTGCCACCTGCCACTTTAGATTCTAAATATTAAATTTGAACATTTTCATTTCGTTTCAATTTTTTATTCAAATGCCACAAAATACTTGTTAAGAATTTATGGATGCCACAGACAGCATGGAGCATGGGGCATGGGGCATGCTCATGCAATTTGCATTCCTGGCGGAAGGATATTCCACATGCCGCACAGTCGGGGAGGGGGGGCAAACCGAAAACGGTTTGCCTGGTTAATAATAAATAAATAAAAGCAAAAACAATCAGCCGGAAGGGATACAAACGCTAAGCAACGAAGTGGCGAATACCCTGTAAAGAAAGCAGAGAGACATTGGGGGGGATTTCCTGCAATTAATGACTGGCAAAAGATGCAATTTAGTTACTCTCAAAGATGCAACCAAGAAAGATCGTCGATCTTTGGGTTAACTTGATCTGAAGGGTTTTTGTGCCCCCCAAATGACTCTTCTGAAGGAGAAGAGAACAGAGGCAGACCACAAATTTGCCAGAGAGCTGAATGAAAGAGATCATAGCAAGCTCAAATCAAGGCGAGTGAATGGCAAAAGGTAATGGAAATGCTCCACCATTTTCTTGATTGCTTCTTCATTTCCTTGGGGCCTTGCTGCGGAAAAGCTTCTGCTGGCACTCCCTTCTCCACATCTGCATCTTGGTTGCAAGAGCGAGTGAGAGTGAGAGAGAGAGAGATAGAGTTCTCGCCCACTCAGTGTGTTTGCTCGAATTGAAATCAATTAAAAATCAATCAACTCAAATGTACTGAAAAACAATTTTTAATTGAAAAGTGCAAACGAGTGGCCCAGGAAGAGAGAGAGAGAGAGAGAGAGAGGGAGCTGCCCCCAGGAGGCAGTAAGCACTCACCTGAAGAGACAGACACACACACACACAGAGAGAAGGAGAGGGGGGCAGAAGAGCGGTGTTCCTGTGTCCTGCAGCTGAGTGCTTCCAGTGGCTGGGAGTTCAAGTGGCTTTCCAGGCACACACACACACACACAGAGGGACACAACCAACAGACAGACAGAAGTGGAAAGTGCATGAATATTTTATGAAGATAAATAAGGATAAAAACTTCAAACGACCACGAAAAGGGGGTGGCAGCAGGCAGACCACAGCAGGACACTGGACAGCCAACCGGTTGGAGCTGGCTCTCCAGTCAAGTGCAATGGCATTTGGCATTTTGGTAGTTTTTTTGCATTTTACAAAAAACCAATTGAAACAGAAATCAAAAAGTTCCACTTGCCCCCCCGCCCTCTCTCTCACTCACTCACTCTCGCTGGAACCTCTTTGATTCACAGATTGAAAAGTTTTCACTTATCCCCGAGCACACAAACACACAAGAGGCGGGAGAGGCAGCGGCAGCGGCAGCGGCAGCGGCAGCATATGGACCATGCAGCCGCTAATGTTGCAAGCAGCAGAAGTTTCTACGGCAAACCCTGTAAACCATTGGCAGGGCGAGGGCTTTCATTTAGCACAAGGAATTCCCCAAAGTGGAAATCATTACTTCCCAGCCAAAATTAAAATATTCCCATTTTGCAGGGTATCCTTCGAGTCTCTAGCTTAAGGTCTCTCCGCAAAGGCTGCGCTTTTAATGAACTTTGTCCATGGCCATCGCCAATGCATTATGAGAGCTCCAAAGGCTCCACAGTCGCCCCACGGCCAAACAGAATCGAAAGCAAACAAACAGCAGAACGAAATAACGGAACAACGGAGGAATAAAACAAGACAAAAAAAAAAAGGCCAAACTCATTTCAAAGCTATTAGGAAAAGTAAAGCCAGCAACAGCCACTCCTCGACGGCGGCGCTTAAGCAAACGAAAGAATTCAAACAAAATACATGAAGTTGTGCTCTTTTATTATTTTCACAGCACATTTACAGGATACTTAAGGAAGAGCACAGCAAGAGCTAAAGCTAAACGAGTGTCCATGTCGAATGGTGGTCAAAGTAAATGAAGTTCCGTGGAATACCCTGTGGATTTATTTGAATACTTTGCCATTCATTTCTAAGAACAAGAATTCACATTTTACTTTTTAAAAGGAGTTCCTCCATTGGATCACTCTTCTTTTTTATCCATCATCTTTGTGTGTGTGTGTGGGAGACACCTCTCGCTTTTGGCCTCCTCCGCTCGACACTCGAACCAAATGTCGCATGTCATATGAAATGTACTTTGAGCTGGGAGAGCAGAGAGCCCCCGAGGGGCAGTGCGTACAGCAACCTACATACACATACGCTCTCTCCTCTCTCTCTTTCTCTTTCACTGTCGGTCACTCTTTTGGTTTCCGCTGTAGGCGGCTTTGGGTCATTAGGTGACGCCTGTCCATCCATCCATTGGCGGCTAGGGGGGTTAGAGCGGGGGCACAAAACGTAATTAGTCGACGACGGAGACGATGACATCGAAACATGTAAAGTGGAGCGCTCCACTGACCCAACGAGAGCCATGGCCCACTCTCCCACTCTCCCACTCTAGCTCTCCCTTTCTGTCTCTCTCTCTCTCTCTCTATCCATCTCTCGCTTTAACTGGCCATTCCCTTCATTACCTTCTTTCCTTCGCTTTTCACCCCCTTGTGTGCCCCTCTGTATGGCCATTGATGAGAGCCAAAGAGTCTTGGGCTACAAAAAGTTGGTAATTAGGATGTTTGTGCTGACAGAGAGACAGACAGACCGACAGAGCAGACAGCGGAGAGCAGAGAGCAGGGAGCTAGAGACAGCGACCCAGAGCGAGCTGAGAATATGGGGCTTGGGGTCTCTGGTTTAAGTTTTTGAGGGGGTACGAAAATGGCCAAATTAAAGGCCAACGAAGGGGGTTTGAGGCAGCGAGAAGGCATTTGAAAATTGAGTTGACATCTCTCCTGCAAGTTAAGAACTTGTTTAATTAGATTTTATCATTATAATCAAGTCAAACAGTGGCGACACGCGACTTGAGACCTGTTTTGGGGGCGCCTCAGACTCTTGTCCTTCGCCTTGCCCTTTGCTCTTTTGCTTTGTTGATTTTCCCCAGAGGATACACTTCAGGAGTGCCATCTAGATCTAATGAGATATTTAGTTATTCAAATAAAATACAAGTAAATCCCATAAACTGCTCATTAATTGCTCAATGCAAGTCCTTCACTGTCCCATGATTGAAACAATTGAATAATTAATTGAATAATTATATTTAAGTGTTGAATTCTGTTATTCTATTATCTACTTACTTAGGGCGAAATTTCAAAAGGCTAAAAACACACACCAACACGAGTTTTCATGTGCTGGCATGCCCACAACAGATTCCCTTGTCAAAAAGTCGTCTATCGCCTGGAAATATCAGAGAAAAGGAGGAACAGGAGACACCACAGATGCCGCAGCCGGCTATGATGCCAGAGTCAAAGTTATCAGTTATCAAATCAAAAAAGAAGTCCATCAGGAGGTCCCCGAAAGATAAATTAACATTCCAACAGCAGAGACTGCCAGAGCTGCCCTAAACAGACGAGCGAGGCGCAGCAGCAGCAGCAGCAGCCTGAGTGCCACACCTGTTGCACCAGTTTATCGGAGCGGCCAACAGCCAGCGATTGATTATTTTTTGCCGTTCACAAGTCAAATTGTTTACTTGCTTATGTATTTTCTGTTAAATGTAAAAATCCAAAAACAAAGCATAAAAAAAACTTCAAAATAAAAGCAAATAAAAAATTCTAAGATTTCAAGTCTTACGACAGATTAGAGTTTAAGGAGGGAGAGGAATACTTTCAGCCACCCTTGGCACATCTTTTCATTTGATTTCGGAACGATTTCCATCTCCATCGATGGGCTTTTCCTTCTCGAGTGGAATTTTGTATTTTATTACAGATTTTCTCACCGATGGAAATCCCTTTCTAAATCCTTTTGGCTCCTCCTACCCACCGTTGCCCAATCAATTGCTGAATGCCAGCAAATGTGCAACAATGTGACTTGAGCTGCTGCTGCTCCTTCTGTTGCACATTTGCAACTGTAAGTCGCTTGCCACACACACTCCCCTCCCCGCTCCGTGTGGCAGCAAAGAGTGTTAACAATAAAAAACCAAACTGGCGGTGGGGCACCCGAAGAGAAGCACGTACTCCATTCCAAAACACTTTACTCTTCGACACAAAAAATCTCTATGGCAGAAGCTGTGTGGCGGGGCGGGACGGGGCGCCATTTCCATTTCCATTTCCAATTCCGATTGTGAAGCCAAATATTTTTTCCCCATTTAGAAAATCATAGAAATGTTGTATGTATTTTCGGGTGGGAGTGCGTTTAGTTCTCTTAAATAAATAATATGTGCAGAATGAAATATTCAGCGACTGATTTGACCCACCCACTGGACTAGACAGCCACCCACTCAACCACTGAACCACTGAACCACTCAACCAAGCAACCCATCAACAATACAATTTCATTTATTATTCAGCATTTTGTGGCGGTCTTTAAAAGCAACACAAGAGCGAGGCTCGGCATGGAGATGGGCGGGATGATACATCTTTAATTGAGAGATTGAAGGCCCACGGGGGGTTCTATTTTTAAAGACATTTCCACTGAATCGAACAAAAAAGAGCCTTGAATGTGGCATAGATGCTGATTGAGAGAGTGGATAGTAAGCTTCTCATTATATTTCAAATATATCGTAGGTCTAGGAATTTCTTTCAGTGCAGCAAGCAATCCTGCCAACCAGAATTGTGATGCGCTTCAATTACTCAAGCAGTCAATGCCACTGCTGCTGCTACAACTTGCCACACAACGGAGAAAAAATGAAGAGCAGAGAGGCAGGAACATTGAACGCTGGAGTGGCAGAGCCGACAGAGAGGGGGCCTTGTGTACTTATTTTTAAACGTATTAAGGAAACGACAGTCCTAAGGAGACAAGCAGCTTCCCATCTCCCATCTCCCATCTCCCCTCCGCCACACACTCTCGGCAGCGTCTGGGGCCATTGAATAAATGATGCACCTGCAACGCAAAAGTCGCCCGCTGGCAGTGAAGAGGGGGGGAGGAAATGGCAATGGCAAGAAGACGCAAATGATACCGACATTGAGTTGCCATATCCGTCCAGGAGCAGGGGATTGGCACATGAAAATCTGTTGAATTTATTCAATGTTGAATAATTGAATGCCCATAAAATATTAATAGACACCGATAACAAATAAATGTACAATTAATAACTATTAATGCTTTATGACTGCACAAAACATGATTCACACAAAAGGAGTAGGAGTAGGAGTAGGAGTAGGAGAAGTCCTCATCCTCCTGCTAGTAGTGTTTGCTTTTTTATCCACTGAGTATCCTAAGAGATTGACGTCAGGCTGGGGGGGCGCGCGGGTCAAAGTTTGAGCTAAAAGTAACGGAGTTTCCAGCGTAACGAAAGTCAAAAGAAATGCAGGCTAGGGCCAGAGATCGGACAGAGTGGACACTGAACATCTCTTTTCCTCTTGTTGCAACGCGGGGGCAAGTTTTCATTCCGCTTAACAGTTTCGCATAGCATTAGAGTCCTGCCACTGCCACTGCCACAGTCATTCCTTTTTCTTTGGCAAAAGTTTAGGCGCCCCCTTCAGTTCCCTACGCCTGCCTTTTGCGCTTTTTATACCCGGTACTCGAAGAGTAAATAGGGTATATTTTGTTTGTGCGAATAACGGTTGTATTGTATGACCACATAAAGTACATATATTCGTGATCAGCATCAGTAGCCGAGTCGATAGAGCCGTCCGTCCGTCTGTCTTGTTTGTCGGCTAGTTCTCAGAGACTATTAGAGCTAGAGCCACCAAATTTTGCATCCAGTCCGCTGTATGCTCACACTGAAACCAGTGTATTTCAAAATTTAGCCCCGCCCCCTTCCGCCTCCGCAAAAGGGCGAAAACAATTCTGAAGATAAAAGAAATCTAAAAACGCCATTTCGTAGGGAATGCCCATATCTATCAGATCACCAAATTGGGTTTAATTATTTAATTTGCAGTGGCTAAACCCACCCCGTCCCGCAGCCTATATTTGTTTTTTGCACATTCTCTGCTTCTTCATAAAATGGGGTATAAAAGTTGTGACGCGTAAGAAGCGTCTCACACGTCCCTTCTCGTTATCTTTTACTCCTTGTGGCTGCTGCATTCCAACTCCTGTCGAATCCGTAGCTGGACGCAAATTTATGACTGTCAAAAAAAAACAGAAGGGGCACAAGGGGCACGGCGCACGAGAAAACTTGAACTCGGAAAAAAAGTGTTAAGAGTCGCTGGAGTTTCCATGGCTGCAGCATCCTGTAGCGTTTTTCCCAATTCCAAAAGCAGAAATTTTAAGCTTTGACACTTCTCCTGCTCTGCCACAAAAAAATGTTGCATAATTTATGGACAGGCCCCGCCCAAGCCCGCGCCCACGATGCCACCTTGCTTCAGAAAACTGAGTTACAAAACTCGCAAAAGAACTCAAAGGAGAAGTGGCATCAAATAAGCCTTCACGTGGAGTGTCCCCAAAGGATGCCGAAAAGTCTTACTGAAAGGCAGAAAACTTCTTGATTGTTGGGTTCCCTTACCAACGTGTGGAATTTGTGTGGAATGGAAGCATTTCTGTCAGTCGTTGTTTTTCCAGCAAAGAAAACTCTCCCATTAAGTACTTTAAGCCGGCAACTCCTGTAAATCGTTCGCCTGAAGCTCCTGTTCAGTGTGCGAAAAGCCCCTTTAGCTAACTCGATTCCAGTGTTTTCCGTGTCCCATCAGATCCATCAATTAACTCGAGACGACTCCCAGTCGGAGAGTCCACGAAAACCACAGAGGACAAGCAACAACAGCTGTCGATTCCTCTCAGGATACAAAAACACAACAACCCAAAAGGCAGGACAGGCGGACAGCCAGGCGGACAGCCAGGCGGACAGCCAGGCGGACAGCCAGGCGGACGGAGGGCAGGATCGTCAACGCACTGAAATCAAAGCCACAAAACCCATCAAGACAATTTTTAATGACGCCACGAACAGACGGAACCCGAAGAGGCATCATCCTCCAAATCCTCATTCCTCATTCCTCAATCCCCCAATTTCCCCAATCCCCAATCCCAGAATCCTCCTCAATCCTCGTCCTGTCTGCGGTTCCATCATTGTGGCAGTTGGACATGAGGCAGGGGGCAGGAGGCATGTCCCTTGTCGAATGAATACCAGTTTGTACCTCGGAAACATGTTTGAAAATGAAACAAATGCAAATTGTTGTCATTCAACGATGTCGCCGCACAAGAGAGACACGCCCCCCCCCCCCCCCCCCCCCCCCGCTGTGTGCTTCGCCATTAATCCAGGCAACAAGAACAGAAGGAGGCAAAGCAGCAGAGCAGCGGCAACAGCCATAAACCATGCCAGAAATATGTGTGTAGATATGCAGAATACCCTTTAAATATTTGATGTTAAAATGGTGTTTTATTTAGAGGATTTTCTTGTAGATTTGTAGAGCAATCTTCTTCGTTTAATGCTGCATTAAAAACACGACTGGATTACGACTGTTTCAACTCATATTATTTGGATGATTTTCGTTATTTGAGTGCAGAATTGTCTGAACTATAAATTCCTCATAGATGGTTACCATGCCTGTAAGCTGAAAGTTTATTGGACTTTACAAACCTTCACCGAACTCAATCATTTTCGTCACTTAGTTCGAGAATTTCTTCATCTAAAAATCGCTAAAATCATTTTAGACTCAGCTTTTCCAAGTTTATTGCTTTGAAGGATTTTCTGAGCTTATTAGCAGAATTTTCTTATTAAGCAGTGCATTAAATATCAGCCTGCACATTAGAATTATCCTCTTTGGACCTCGTTAGTCTCGCTAGTACTTTGCTACCCTCTAATTCTGTGGCTATGATTGCGGAGTACAGCAACGACAAAGACAACGACAACGACAACGACAACGGGGACGCATGATTTTTGCGGTGTTTTGTGTGTATATTAATGCGGCTGCAAAAGTAGCTTTTAATTAGCATGTTGTCTGCGGCGGCAATTACCCTCCAGTATACCCACCGCCCAATGGAATATTCCCCTACCCCACAACAGACTCTGTCGGAGGCTTATCTTCTCCATGTTTTTGGGGGTTTTTCAATGGCTTTTTGGTTGACTGCTGCTGTGGCTGCTGCTGCTGCTGCTGCTGCTGCTTGTGCCACTCAGGTGGCATGCAGCACACACTCTCGCGGTGTACACGGGAGAATAGTTTCGAGGGGTTTCGCCCTACCTGATTAGCTCTCATTTGGAGCAGGGACGGAGGTGAGGCAGCCAGAACTGGCTTAAAGTGGCTTAGGGCCCCCAGGAGCCTCCCCAGAGATTGACTGCAAATAGGCTGAGATACAAACACACAGATAGAGAGAGAGAGAGAGAGAGAGAGGCACACGGATACATTCAACCATTGTAGCGCAGAGCTTCAAACTTTTGAGAGCAGGGCTTAAGCGATTGGCTTCGTTAGCGATTGAATGGTTGAGCAGCTGAAAGGGTTCCCAAAATGAGGGGAACATTTAATGGAAATTCACTCGAAAAGAGTGCGTAGAGTTATGTTAAAGAAAACGTTTTAAAAAGGAACAGTCAACAAAAAACAGTAGAAAAGTGCACATAAATATATTGTTTATCTCTAACCAAATATAATTTCCCTTTTAATCATACAAAGTAGGACGCTAAATCAAGATATATGTTTAATTTCTAACTTATATACGATTATTTGAATAACATTCTATCTATTTTACTTTTTGATATTTATATTTGCTTCGATTTACATTTGTTTTTTGTCACGCTTCATGCAGCAGTGCGCCTCTATTCTGTGTTGGGCCTCTGGAGAGTCTTGGAGAAGTGGAAAAGGCCACATAAATGCTAAATTTATGTACATATGTATGTGCATGTGTACGTTATACATTATCTATGGCACTCCCTTGCTGTCGCCTCTGCCTGCCGCCAATTGGATTCTCATTCCATGCCAATTAGACGGCACGCAGGCGCATGACACAAACTGCTCATAGATGAAGCTGGAGAAGAAGTGAGGTGGGGAGGTAGGGAGTTTGGGCGAGGTTGCAGGTTGCAAGCGTACTGCTAGTACTACGATTATTAGTGGCATAAAGTGTTGACTGCTTGTGGGGCTGGTGTTGTTTTTATTTCTGCTGCTGCACAGCACAGAAAACAAACTCGCACGATATTTTCCTTCATTATTATTTCTTGGCACGCGATCTGACAAGTTAGACGACTTTTTTTTTCTTTTTGTTTTTAGCCGGGGTTTCTAGTTGTTTGGACTTTGGAGCTGTCGCCCATTGCGCCCATCGCCTTGGGCTGTCGTGTGTTTTTCTCTCCCTCTCCTCTGATTTACATCGAATCGAATGTTGTTGCTTCTCTGGCAGTGCCTTTTGTGCTGGGCGAGTGGGCTTTCCACTTACTTGAAAGCCCAGTACCCGCCGTTCTCTCCCACTTCTCCTTCTCCTTCTCCTTCTCTGTAGACGATGATGATGATGACGATGTCGCCTGATGTATATATAGATTTAGAAATTATAGTAGTTGATGGCTTACTTGCAATTAGTTTGTGTAAAACACGAATCTAGCTGTTCCCTCTGTTGTAGATGCAGATTTCGCTGTCGCTGTCGCTGTCGCTGTCGATTCGTTCGTCGAGAGGCACACCCAACGATCTGTAAAAACAAAAACCAATAGTTATTATAGGGGTTAAGATGGAATTCCATTTCATTAACGCAAACGACAACCCCTTCCCCGCACCATTTGCAGCTGAATCATGATCGCTTATCAATCAATTAGTGCTCAATCGGAGCGAAACATATTTATCGTGCAGCCCCACCAAGAGAATCAAAGAATAATAATAAAATAAAACACCACCTTCATTGATTAGGCAATGCCCCCACCGTTTTGGGTGGGTTGCTGTCTTGGGGCCTTTTCTTATCGTAGAACGTGATGTCCGCGGCGCTTTAATCGCCAGACGACGCAATGGATGGATGGCCCAAATGATAAGCCAGAACATGCGTGTTTTTGACCATCAAGCAAATGTTCTTATCTACTGCGGATTTTTCCATTCAGAAAAGATTTAGAACTAAGATCTCTAGGCCACAAAATGGAAACCACAGATCTTTATGGCAGGAAATTCCTACACCTACAAACCAGTTGAATCCCCTAGCATCTAATGCATGGCCTTGGGGCGCTTTAACTCGAGTTAAGAGCTCTATTTTCACCCAGAAACTTATCAGCCTGCGCGTATGGAATCTTATCTCAGGGGGGGCGAAAAAGTGAAGTTGCTGACAGAGAAACAAACAAAAATCAAGTCCAAATCAGACGAGAGGAGCATAACAGTGGGAGGAGGGAGGCATGGAGCCCCAGACATTATATTTTCTGCTCCAAATACGCTTTTCACAATTTTCACACAGAGATGGAGATGGCGATGGGAGAGACTTTTCATTTTTTTTTTGTTTTACTTTTTTTTCTATATGTGAGCGCAATGCTTGTTAGCAGAGCGTGCATCCCATATAGGAGTACATATATCTGAATATATATACAATCTAGATGCATGTGTGTATGGGCTAGCTGTCTGGCAGTCAGTCAGTGGAGCCACTGGGCCTCCACTCCACTGTACACTCGACTCCACACATTTCGCATTCGTATTCGCATTCGTGTGTTGTGTTGTGTTGTGTTGTGTTTATTGTGTGTGTGTTTGAAAAAAGTGAAAATTGCATTTTCATTTTCTCGTTGTTTTCCTTTCTTTTTTGTTGTTGTAGCTTTGCTTTTGTTTTGTTTCTAATGCAGCTGCTAAAATTAATTCCCAAATTCGTATTCATAAAGTGGAGGAGAGCGAGCAGTGGGTGATTTTTTAGACGCTTTCTATTGGCTTTTAATAATGAAATTGTGCAACCGGAACAATGAATATACACAGCGTGCAGACAGAGAGTCATTAGATGCATTCTATAACATTCCAATCTGCAATATTGATTCACTTTTCACACTTTCCATGTCATTCCAGTCCATAACTCCACCTGATGGTCCCCATTCAAATGCAGCGTTAACAGATCATGAATGGTTGCATATTCTGTTGCACTCTTTGGGAGCATCATAACGAATCGGAATCTATTCCATTGCTCCATTATTTTCCCCCTTTATATACAGAGACCATTCCATCGCTAGGCATCATAAATCCCATCCAAGTATCCCATTCTATTTCATTTTCACTCCATTTCATTCAATTGCATTCATTATTTCTATATGATCCCTACATCATGATGCACCGCTCTTCAACCCCTTTCCCAGCCCCACCATTTCCATTCATTTTCCCATCTTGTTGCGTGGAAAATCGCATTGAAAAATGGAAAGTTTTTGCGTTAATTTTAAATGATTATTAACACGATTATCATCGGGCGGGCGGACGCTTGCGTTTATCGTTTATCGTTTTGTCCGTTGCTGTTTTTGTGTGTGTGTTATTTTTTTTTCGGCTGGGTGAAAATCTATTTCCCTCCAGTGTACGTATAGTCGATTATTTGTTGGTTGAGGGGGGGTGGCCGTGCTGGGGAAAACTCTGTTGAAAGCGATGACATCTAATTAATTTTCAATGCCCTGTGATGCCTGCCTCTGCCTGTCTCTGCGTGCCTGCCTTTCTGTCTCTCTTTGGTGCTGCCACATGTGTGGGTTCGACATTTGCTGCAGTTTTAATTAAGTGTTTAATTAATGATGAGGCATTCAACATTCAACAGAATGAGCACAAGCGTTAGTGATATGCATGGGGGGACGACGACTGCAATTGAAACTGCAATTTCCATTGAATGCCACTGTCAAAAGGCGACTGCCCGGGGCAATGAAATGGAGGAGTTTTGGGTATTCTCTTAATTGAAGTCATTCCCACAGATATGTACATACATACATGCAGATGCACGAGTATACGATTCGCTTTAAAGTGCAGAACATTTCCCACAAAAGCCACACAAAGGCGATCTCTAAACTGCATGAAAAACCACTGGAATCATCGATTTCTAAAAATATTCATAAAGAACAAGCGTTCTGTCATAATTTCACTTGTGATTGCATTCAATTTGTTCGTTTATTTACTGAAAATCATTCCTGCATTCGCTCCTCATTCGTCCCGCACTCGTCGCCCCACCGCCCTTTTATTTTCCTGTAAAACATTATCGTTATCCCTCCCTCTCTCTCTGTCTCTTTCCCCCTCCATCTTGTTAGCTCGTGTATCATGCCCCTCGGCGGTGCATAAATCCCCCAAAAATTCGTAAACCCAATAAAAAAAAAAAAAATTGACTCCCTGATGTGATTCGTTGCCTTCCCTTCGTTCGACAATCCTTCGACTCTTTACTTATGCAATTACAGGCACATACACATATTCCCCCCCTGCCAGCCATAAACCCAGCCCCCCTGGCCCTATTCCGTTCTCTGAGGAGGAAGAAAGAGAAAACGCAATCGGAGGCTGTTTATCTTTTGAGTCCTTCCGCTCCGCCTTCCGTTCCGGGGAGGTCCCCTAGGGATAAGGGGTGGGGCGGGATGAAGAGAAGGTCGTGTGGCCTTGCCCTAGTACCCAAGGACCCTCTCCAGCTACCCACATGTGTGTGTGTGTGTGTGTGTGTGTGTGTGTGTGTGTGTGTGTGTGTGTGTGTCTGTGCCAGCATTTTTCATTTACATTTTCAATAATATTTCCTTGGCCTTGACTTTGGCCCTACGGGCTGATTGTGGTAAAGGGAAGAACGAGTGTGTGGGGAAGGGAGGGGCTGAGTGTGTAAACGAGGGGTAGGGGTAGGGGTAGGGGTAGGGGTAGGGTAGGGGTCTCATTGCCAAAACATTTATTTATTATGGCTCTTGGTAATCGTTTAAGGACGCTGGAAAAAGGGGACAGCGAGGCAGGAGTAAAAACAAGTGGGGGGAAAAACCAGAAAGAAAAGATGGCAAAAGAAGGCAAATTATTCAATGGTTCCAATGGGAGATTCATGGGCCATAGGGCAGTGAAGGATGAGGACAGTGGCCAGGATAGCTATCGCAGCGGGGAAAGGCGTGTGTCCATGCAAATAAAACAAAAGGAAAGCAAAAGGAAATCGAAATCTTTATGGCCCAGCGACACCTTTGGGATACCCTTCCTTTCATTTGAGGGAGTTTTATGGCCTCTATGTAAATAAGACTTAACTTTTAGCACTGGGATTTCAGCATGAAATAAATGGTTATAAATTGTCGCCACATTTGTGCTTTTACACAAATATATTTTAATATTCCTGTCGTTTTCGTGGCCATTCTTCTTTTTTTTAGTGTTTCTCCAGAACTCTTTCTTAAACCCAAACATAAACTGTGTGTTTCGCTTTCTGTTCTCTAAATCTCTCTTGGATTATCGCTCGATTTATGGATTTATTCATGGATCTATGAGCATTCTTTAATGCCCCCCCATCTCTCTGTAATTATTGGACTCTCAAATGTGGAGCAAAAATCTATGTGGCATGGGGCGCAGGCTTCGGCTTCAGGTTTTTCCAGAATCCAACGAACCCGCGAAACCAGTTCCAGAAACCAAGAAACCAAGTCCAAGAAAACGGAAACCCAGCCAAAACCCCCAACTGATGGATGGATGGATTGGGGCAG